TGATCTGGTGACATTAACTAATTAAAAAAGTAAGGGGGGGGGGGCAATATGGTATAACTATCCCATTGGTTCCGCCATTCAAAAATGAAACGTATTGTTGCATTTACAAACATTAAAAAGAGTAAATAAAAGCACTGGTTATTTTGCTGAATATATATCACACCACTGTGGTTGTAAATATTAAGAAAGACAATAATTTTCCACCATTCAAAAATTACACTTGTCCGGGAAGCTTATCTTAAAATCATTTTATTATTCTTTTGTCTAGGTGTAATATACTAATTTTCCCTTTACATTCATCTAGCTAATGAATGGGAAATTTAAATGATTATATTTATTAAAAATTATATCGTATATTTTACTTTTAAAATAATGTTAATTTTGTGGAGAATTTAAAAAAAAAAAAAGTATAGGTATATTACCTCGTCGTTATCTCCAATATGTTGATTATTTCGTTTTTTAGTCATACCTTAAATTTATAGTATGCAATGATAAAGGCAACACTGCCGGCCCTGTTACTGTTAAAATTAATTTAAGTTATTTTTTAAAATTGTTAAATCGTGTTTCATACGATTTTCGCTATGAATATTCGGTGTGCAACTGTAAGTATAATTTATAAAATACTCAAGGTCCATTAATTGTTTTTCATCTTGAAATGCAGGCCTGGTTAATTTATCCAAGGCCCTGCCTTAAATAACTATTAATATTAAACTATTAAATTATTACTAAAAATTACTTATATTAATTACTGTAATATTATACTATATTTTATATAATTAATTTTAGTTAGACAATTGATTGTCATTATCATGTTTCATAAATAGTTTCATATTTTCTCTTTGATTATTTGTTTTGCATTTTAATGCAGTTCAGTGACGTAGTTGGGTAAAATCCGGTAATCTACCACTTGAGCGTCCGGCCAAGAAAAAATCCAGTTGTTCCGGTTGGAAGGGCTATTTAAACAACTATTCTTACATTGGAGTCTGTTAATATTTTTGCTTTCGTATAGACCCGTATAGGCTATAAAGTTATATAGCACAATACTAATACATTTAAATAATTATTACTGCTAAGCTACCGATATGCCAGGAAGAAAAAGAGACTACAATTATTTTTTTGATCCAGATGACGTGGATGTCCACACACAGAATGTGGAAAAGTGTAAACTGAAAAGACAGTTAGGCACAAGCGGTGATCTTTCCCCTTCATATTTACGTGGATTCATGTACCACAACCGTTCTCGTGGAAATTATATTTTTTAAAACTTCATTGTCAACTTGGGGGAGAACTATGCATAATTCCATTTTCACACATTATCTTCTATTTCAAAAAAATTGTTATAGTTTTCCTATTTTAAAAAAATTGTCTATTATAATGGGAATGAATGCGTACCACCAATGTCTTAAAAAATAATATAAGAATAGTTGTTTAAATAGCCCTTCCAACCGAACAGCTGGATTTTTTTCTTGGACGATTTTAGCTTAAATTCACTCATCATAATCATGTAATCATTTCATGTAGGCCTATTATATGACAAATAGATAATAAAATCATATTTGAGCATAAATTCATTCATCAAAATGACAAATGGCCAATCGATCAATACACAATAAAATAAATGAAAATGTCATGATAAATGTTGGATTGGCATGCCACTCATTCTCATTTCCCTGGCCTCCATCTTTGTTGCCGTGACCTTAGAGGTGTCATAGCAACAAAAATGGCAGCCCTGTAAAAAAAAAAGTAGTGCAAACACATATCTGCTAGAGGGGAAAGGGAATGTGCTGTTTTAGCTACTTACAATATAGTTACAGAGAGAACAAAAATTAGGCACAAAATGATACAATTTAATGAAATAATTTTTTTTAGAAATACCTTCGTTCCTAAAATATGTTAGTCTACATAACACAAATACTATAGTATGTCAGTATCACAACTCAAGCATAAATTCCACCATAAATTTAGCCAACCACTCCACTAAATCATAAATATTAACATAACAACTTTATTTTATCCCTCTGGATATGTGGCAAGAAGTGTCAACAATCTATGGTTGCCCCCTTTCCTGGCGTAATTTTAGCTGGTACATTAATTTCATGACAAACTTAGCAACTTTATTATATCCCTCAAGAAGTGTCAATGACCTATGGTTGCTCCCTTCCCTCAACTAAAACACCTGCGCTTGCTACAGTTAAACAATGTGATGAGAAAAGTGTAAAAATGAAGAAAAAAAATTACAAAATAGTTTTAAAATAATGAAAACCCAATTTAAAGTTTCATCGAATGAACCTTTACACCCTTTATTGCAGTTTCCACCAAAAAAAATTCCAAATGTTATCAGAAAAATCAATTCATTTAAAACATTCCATCAGTTGAAACACATATATGTAACTTATTTATGGCAGTATGCAGAATTTCTGAGTACCCATCCTTTTATTGACTGATTTTAATAAAAATAGATTGAAATTAGTAATCTCAAATCCTAAAAAAAAATTATCAAACCATTTTTCTATTAAAAAACTACTAAAATTAAAGGATTTATTAAAACACAGCTAGGTATAGTGGGAATCTAATTTTCCACAAGCCATTCTTCATTTGTTCTCCAATAAAGTATAGGACGATGAAAATCTATAGTTAGGTCTACGCCTGCATTTTGAATTTATAAAAAAAAATTCTGAGACCCTCCCCAAAACCCACTTTTGCTTGAGTGACTTTGGCGTCCTCGATTTCCACTCCCCCACCCCATCTTTGTCTATCAAAGTGGCAAAGACAGGCTCCTTTTTATTTGGGATAAAGCACTGTATATAAACTTATATACGCCAATCATCTACTTTGGGAAGCGGAAATGGGTTATACGTGATGCGAAAAGCTATAAATTATTCTTTATGTTGTTCTACTTACTATTAAAATACGGGTACTGCACTATTTTGGGAGTTCCAGGGTAACCAAGTCTGGATTATAATTAAAGAAAGCTAGAACAGATCATTTTTAATGCTAAAATATGACATTTTTAGACTACTCTCTGTAACTAATTCTGATACAAGTATGATAAGCTCATTCATTGCAAATTTACTGTCCTGTAAGTGTCCTTGAAGGAAATATTTAAATAAGATATTTATCTTCTGAACTTTTTTTTCAAAATAATGTTTTGTGGTAATTAGTCTATTTGAATAGAAAATGTAATTTTAAAAAAAAAAAATTTCTAGTCTATACATATTTATAAGCCTGACAAATTAAATTTTTTTTAATGTTTCTTTTTTAAAGCCTGATGATCTCATGAATATGCAGCACTGTAACCTCCTGTGCTTGCCAGAGAATTATCAGATGAAATATTATTTTTATCATGGCCTTTCATGGCCACAGGTAAGTCTTGTTTAGGCTTAGACCTATATTAAATATATAGAAAAGTTATAATCTAAGAAATATTTCATGTAAAAATAGTGTTCACATCTTCCATGATCTGGTGAGAAGTCTTTGCCAGGTTTGATTTGATTTAAAAAATGGTTGTAATGCACATATTTCTGGGATTTTATTATATCATTATTTGCCTTTTTTTTTTAACATGAATATTTCGTTATAATCAGACAATTAACTTTTTATCAGCTTATATTTATATATATTTATACCGGTACTCAATAATGTGTACAGTTGAAATCTACTTCATTGAATTCATGCAAATTTTGAAGTTTTACAAACTGCGTTGTTTTATGATAATTCCAGACTATTTTTAAACTGTAGAATAAAATGTAATGTAACGGCTATTCTGAAAAAAATTAAGATATTTCTACATAATTTCGAAAGTGAAAGCTTTATTCATTGATTGCAATTGCATTTTGTATGAATACAATATTTGTTACATTAAACCTAAAATACATTTTTTGTGTGTTCTTTTCAGTTGTCATATGTTGCTGAAGATCATAGTGGAAAAATTGTTGGTTATGTTCTGGCCAAGATGTAAGCATTAAAATATATTTTGAAATTGTTTATCCTCTCCCCATTTTGTAATAATCCAAACGGGTTCTCATAAGTAATACCATATAATAAGTTTGTGTGTCATCTGCGCAAGGCTACAGAATTTTCCTCCTCTCCATCTAAAGTAACTCAACACTGTACACAGCAAACTTACGTAGACCACAGGGGGTGGAAAGAAGGGGAAAGGTTAACTTTTATACATGTGAGTGTATCTATTTGAAATGCTTCCACATAAGGGACATTCAGACCTTCATTTAGCAGTTAATTTAGATACATTTCAAGAAAGCAAGTTCCAGCACTCTCAATGTTTTTTTATTTTTTAATAAACCAATTTTGTGGTGCATTCAAGATAATTTTGTTAATTACCAGTATTTATGCACTTATCATTCATGAAATTATCCTATAAATTGGCATATGTGATCTCAACCAACTTTCCTTCATGTGGATAATGTATATACTTTCAATACTACATTTAAAAAAAAATTATAGTTAGGCCTAAAATATTACCCTTAAATACAATGATATTATTAAACTCATAGTTTGTGACACTGCAATGTACAGCAAGGGATTCACTTTGAGACATGTCAGAGACAAGCAAATGATAATAACACTGATGCAAACCCATGATGCTCTTCATCAAATCTTTTAACCAAAACTAGTAATTATTTCATTTAAAAAATAAACTGTTTTTATTTTACTAAATTTAGTTATGTCAATCAATGTCATCAGTTATCTGAACTGCCCCTTGTTACAGTTAGTTAAATAAGTCATGCATGGTTATGACACACCAAACAAAATTTTCTCCTGTCTATGTATTATCATATTTAGCATATCTTGTGTGTGCTTCTCTGGTAAATATGGAACACAAACAAACAAAAAAGAAATGGCCTTTATAGTTCAGGGTATTTAGCATTATTGTCCAAATTTTTGCACAGCAAACATCACATTAAATCTTATGTTATTTTTATTATAATTATTTAATTTTTTAGATATTTTAAAATCCTTTGTATTAAACTTTGCTTTTGTGTCTTTCTTTGTGGTTGCAAAATCTTTGGAAGGCTAATTGACCCACTTACCATCATCCTATGGAGCTGAAACTTTACACATATACTTTTTGTCAATGACAACACATACTGTCAAATTTTCAGCCCCCCCCCCCCCCCCCCCCCCCCCCCCCCCCCCCCCAACCCACCAATAATCAGTTTTTCAAAGGGGAAGATAATGAAATATGATTTGTTTACTGGGTGTGTATTTTGGTTTGGAGATTAATTGTGTAGCTGTTGCTATATGCATTGTATTGTGATGCATTTGGGTTTAAATATATCTTTAGTCTGTTAGGTTTTACATGCTCTAAGTTTGATAAAAAAAATTCCCATACCAAAAATCAGTCGCTACAATTACATAAATGATAAATTGTGACAATTACATAAATGCAAACAAATATGCTTGTAAAGGATTTAAATTTAAATGAAAAAAATTGTTTTTAGGGATTGTTTAATTAAAACATATATTTTTAAATAAATAAATAGTATAAGATATAAGTATAATGTTTTGCTCATTTCTTATGTTTCCAAAATAGATTTTATGAAAATTTTGTTTTCTTTATGTTTTTTCCTCTTTTTTTTTTTAAAATGTCATTGTAAATCATTAATGAATTCTTTTCCCACTGTGGTGCAGTGAAGAATTAAACATAATTTTAGATTGATAATTATAGATGTTCATGAACTTGTATCTTTAAAAGAAACGGTCAAACTTGTGTGTTAAAAAATCATAATGTGATGTACAAAATACTTTGTTGTCCTTTTTATTATTTTTATTGTAGGGAGGAAGATCCCGAGGATTCTGTACCTCACGGGCACATAACATCTTTGGTAAGACTTTGTTCATAGTTTAATTTTTATAATAACTTCAGCATTTTCTTTATTGTTGAATATCTTATTTTGTCATCCAGTAAAATTAATTGTTCACTTCAACTCCTGTATTGTTTTCATATATTAACTGATGTTTGAAATGTAAATATAATTATCATTGGAAAGAATACAATCCAAATTTGATTGAGAGCTGAAGAATGGTCACTAAGCAGAGAACGCATTATGAAATGATTCATTTTAGTCACCAGTTTTAGTGTATTATTTATTGTCTACAAAATTTGACATCTTATCCTAAAATCTACCTTTTTTTTTTTTTTTACCATCATCTAAAAAATAAATTAGGCCGTTAAAAGGTCACACAGACGTCTTGGCCTGGCTCAGAAGTTAATGGACCAAGCCTCCAGAGCTATGGTGGAAAATTTCAATGCCCAGTATGTGTCCCTTCATGTTAGGAAAAGTAACAGAGCTGCCCTCCATCTCTACACAGAAAATCTCAAGTTTTCGTAAGTATCCTACAACCGGATTGTTTCTAGCTTGAACTGTTGATCATAAGTTTCCTGTGGCAATCATAGTGTTTGTTGCTGATTTAATGCTCCCTCTCTCTCTCTCTCTCTCTCTCCTGTTACAGGATCAGTGAAATAGAGCCCAAGTATTATGCTGATGGGGAGGATGCTTATGCCATGAGGCGAGATTTGACGGAATTTAGGGAAAAGGTAATAATAGTCATTCATAAGCTTTTGAAGATGTGGGGAGGAGGGGTGGGGCTTTACAACAGAAGTGTGTTATCATGTTATAAATACCCAATCGATATTGAATCTCAATTGCATTTATTGATAGTTTATGTGTTAATGATTTTTAATTCTTGTTCAGGACTTTTAAAAAAATTGCTACCGTAGTGTACTGGATATGTTTTATGAAAAACTATTTAAAGGGTTCATAACTAAGATTTTCATCATTTAATTGTCATATTTCAATAGGTTTAACTTAGTTCTCAATTAGTACATCTGTATATGTTGTATTCCTTTGTTACTCCCATTTGTTGATTGTATTTTTCCTCAGTATGGATTAAAAGCAGACCTAGATCAACTAGCAATAGAGAGCGCACCAGCTCAAGACTTGGTCAAACCAAAGATTCAAGATTGATGTAGTAACTGAATGTGTGTGCTTGGTATTTTTTTTTAATCTGCATGAGGAATGTCTAAATCACAAATATTATTATATTTGTGTAAGTATGTTGAGCACTTGCTGAATCTGAATTAAAATAGTTTCAGCTTTGTTATTTTGTATTTTTTTTATAAAAGAAAATGTGTAAATGTATGGATCATAAACTTGTGTAAATAAATTCTTAGACATATTTTTATCCAAATCACAATTTTGTTTCAAATTTATTTCCATCTACTTGTATCATGTACAAGTACAGCTGGGATGTGGCTAGACTTGTTTTATGTACAATTACAGTTGGGATGTGGCTCAACTTGTTTTATGTACCGTACAAGTACAGCTGGGATTTCGCCAGACTTGTTTTATGTATGAGTACAGTTGGATGTGGCTAGATGGTTACTTCTCATACTATGAGCATAACTTTCATGTAGGTGTTTTTAAAATCATAGCACTTTTGAGTTAGCTCTTGTCTTATTAGATTACACTGTTTTGTGAGATTATTTTTATATTGTAATGTTATTGTAAGTCTTGTGAGGTTATGTTTAGCTCATTACATAACTTTATCCTACTGAGATTCTTCTCTGTCAAATTGTAGCATAGATCATTCTAGTCAAACATTTTGAAATACTAAATGATCAAAGTGTCTAAAGGATATTGATATATTTTATTCCCTGTGATCAAAGTGTTAAAAGGATATTGATAGTTGATAGATTTGATTCCCTGTGATCAGTGTCTAAAGGATGTTGATAGATTTCATTCCCTGTAGTCAAAGTGTCTAATGGATATTGATAGATTTCATTTCCTGTGATCAAAATGTCTATTGGATATTCATAGATTTCATTCTCTGTAAGTGGTACAATCTCATAAACCTTGACAGAACTTGTCACGTTTTACAAGGAACACATTTTATTTTGGATCTCTGTGTGTGACTTGGACATTTGTAGTTGCATCAACAAAATAATTCCTCCCAGTCAACGACAGATGGATTGTTTAGCATATGTTGATTATTAATTAAATGTACCGGTAAGATCAAAGCTTAACAGATGATTGGGTCTTTTATTATTTTTATATTATTTTATTATCAATGTTATCCTTTTTCCACGTTTCCGAACACTAATTAATGATTACACTGTGAAGTGATTACTTACCCTTCATGGTAACAAGGAATGCTTTGCTGAATGCTGTGGGTTAACTAAACCCAGACAAGCGAGCCACAGATGTAGACATACTGTGAATTGGGAGGGGAATCAAGGAAGTGATTTGATGAACAAGAAGCCTAAAATCTTACGTCATGGTAGAATCAGGGCGTCATGGTAGAATCAGGGTGTAGACATGGTCCTGTCTTAGCTGGACAGTGTGGAAATGACCCAGGATCAAATAAAAAGACAATCCCCCCACCCCCTTATCAAAGAAAATAGATAGAATCTCCCCCTCTGCTACTTTTCGGTTTTTGC